TCCTCCTCCTCCTCCTCGTCCAACGACCACGACCACGTCCAATTTTTGGATTCCCAGATTACAATCTACTTTCAGCGCCTTCCTACTTCAAGAGTCGAGTGTTTTTTTCCCTCTTCCTTCCTCTGCAGGAGGCGTGCGGAAACCCAATCTGGTTTCAACGCCTTCCTGCTTCATGTTTCTACCTACTTCTTCCGACCGATGGGCATACGCAGCTTGCGCAGGCGATAGCCACAGTGAGCAGACGAGGTTCGGCAAGACAACTCTGCCTTGATCAGCGCCGATATTGGTACTACAGCCCTCGTCGAAAAAGAACTGAGGGATTATGTTTTCGGTGATTGTATGGTCAGCGCTACTCCAATGCTGGCGCTAGATATCTGACGCGGACGCAAGGGCTTCAAAAATCCGATGACCCCTCCGCAGCATTGAAGAACGCAGTTTCTAACAAGTGCCCGAGAAGACCGATCGTCGTGATTCCCAACTGCGTTTCTGATTATTTTTGACGAGGCTTGTAGGCAGGACATCACGAGCCGTATCAACTCCAAGAGAGCACCCCTATGTTCCTTCGTTGGCGCGCTCCGAATGGATGACAGGGTAAGAACAAGTCTTGGGGGTCCCACTGCGAGGAAAACGCGTCTCCAGGGCCCCAACATGAAAAAGCTCCCGCTTTGGGAGTAAAGCCCAGTGGGCCTCTCAGTTTTAGCGCGAGCAGCAGCCTCATGGTAAAAAGTGAGAATGTCGACAGCAGCCACCCAGAGAGGCTTCGCGCAGAGCGCGTCACCATGCGAACCGAACGAACATTCGTCAGTGAAAGCACTGGCACCCAAGAGAGATCCCAGAACACCAGCCCGGATCAGCGTTTGGACGGTGGCATGGGCTGACCTCTGGCAGGACGAGTGTGAACCTTGACCTGAGAGTCAAGACGCCACCAGGCCCAATTCAAAGCAGTAGGTCCCAAGAGAACTTCACGCCTGGAACGGTCCGGAATATCCAGGAAGGGATGCCCCATGAGCGTGGCCACCGCGTCGACCAATTCATTCCGAAGAGGTCCAGAATCCCCGAACATGGTTCCAGTGAGTCCTTGAAGCGAACATCTTAGCCACTTCGGCAGTGTTATCTAGGGCGAAACGTTGAGGCTTAAGAGAATGGGAGGGAGGGAGGGAGGGAGGGAGCGAGGGAGCGAGGGAGGAGGAGGAGGACGACGAGGACGAGGACGAGGAAGATTCGCACGGGCATCCCCGTGCTCTCCCGCCGCGCGGATCAGCGAGGCAGCGACGTTGGGGGCCCTTGCCCATTATTGCTCCATCCCTCCCCTCCTGCTCCCCATGCCTCCTCCGCCTCCCCCTGTCTCCCTTCCCTTCTTCCGTCCGCTCCCTCCAGTCCGCCCCCCTCCACCCGCACTCGCTTTCCCCCGAGGAGGGAGGGGGTGCGACGGCGGCGAACAGGCAGCTTGAGGACAGTGCCCCCTCGGAGCGAGGGGGGGGAGGAAGGGAGGAGGAGGAGGAGGAGGAGGAGGAGGAGGAGGAGGAGGAGGAGGAGGGAGGAGGAGGAGGAGGAGGAGGGAGGAGGAGGAGGAGGAGGAGGAGGAGGAGGAAGGGGCGGCATGGGGGCGGTATGGGGCGGGGCCCTCCGAGAGCGGTCCCCCGCCGGGCAGGCGGAGCTGATGCTCCGCTTCGTCTACTTCAAGGGGCTGGGCACGCGCCAGCAGCGCCCTCAGCCGCTCAGGGGCCTCGACGGCACGGCGCGGCGGGATACCTATGTATGTATATATATATATATATATATATATATATATATGTACATATAGATATAAATGAATAAATAAATAAATAAATAAATAAATAAATAGATAGATGCAGAGAGAGAGAGCCCCAAATCATAGCATGTCTTTGGGTGTTTGGTGAATTGTGGGGTTTTCTTTTCGGCTTCCCGACGCTCCAAGACGACGGTCTTCTGGGCGTCCGAAGCCGCCTGGGAGGCTCTAAAAACAGCCAGCAACCATCGGAAAGGGCTTCCAGGCAGTCCAAGAGAGCCCCAAACGGCACAACAGGGGTCCAGAATGGCCCTAAGAGAGCCCCACGGCGGCCCACGATGGCCCCAAGACACCCTCCGAAGCATTCCAAATCGTGACTTGGTCGTTCAGTGGGACCGCGGTTGGAGGCAGGGCGGCCCGAGGAAGCCCCCGGAGGTCCCCAGAACGCGCCCTGCTGGAAAAGGCAACAAGGAGTTATCGCTAATGTGTCGGCTTGGCCTCCTTGCCATTCCGCCTGCATACCAAACTTCAAAGACCAAGGTGCATGGCGCGAAGCGCCACTGCAGTTTGGTGTATATATATGTATCTATATATACAAATACACACGTATAT